ACCTGCTGCAGCAGCAGCCGCTGCTGCAGCTGGTCTTCCTAACTCTGCTTCTCGAAACAATGAAGGACGCGGCCTTGCTCGTAGCTGCAGCAACTGCAGCAGCACCCGAAGCAGCAGCGTGCGCTGCAGCAGCAGCAGCAGCAGCAGCAAAACTTGCCTCTCCGCTGCAAAACGAAACTCAGAAATTAAGGCCCCTGCTGCTGCTGCTGCTGTTGGTGCTGCATGCGTTGCTGCTGCTGCTCGCGCTGCTGCAACTCGCGCTGCTGCTACTCGCGCTGCTGCGACGCGCAAAAGCCCTAAGTCCCAAACGCAAAAACTAACAGCAGCAGCTGCAGCAGCTTTTGCTGCTGCAGCAACTGCAGCAGCAACGGCAGAAGCAGCAGCAGAGCTCGAGGCGTCGGCACTAACAACACCTGCCACAAGAGCTACAACCCCTGCAACAACACCTGTGGGGCCGCGGGCAGCAAAAGCAGCAGCAGCAGCTGCTGCTGCTGCTGCAGCAGCAGGCTCGCCGATGCCCGTTTGCCGGAAGCGACTGCAGCAGCAACAGCCAGCAGCAGCAGCAGCAGCAAAAACGACAGCAGCAGCACTTCCTACTAGTCAACATTCTGCTGCCTGCGCCACCCAGCGGCTGCAGCGGAACCAGAGGATGCTGTGCAAGCAGCAGCAACAGCACGAGCAGCAGCAGCAGCACAAGCAGCAGCAGCAGCAGCAGCATCTTCACGGACAGCAGCAGCGCAAACAGCAGCAGCAGCAGCAACAGGGCCGCGCGCTTTCCCGCTGCTGCTGCACGATTTGCTGCGAAGTGACGGCAGCCAGCGACTGGGCCTTTGCTGCAGGGCAGCAGCAACATCCTGCAGGCAGCGCCTGCAGCAACCAGCGGCAGCAGCAGCAGCAGCAGCAGCAGCAGCAGCAGCAGACGCAAAAGGCTACGGCAGAGGCAGCCACGCCCACTGCAGTTGCTGCAGGCACTGCAGCAACTGCAACAGCAGCCCGAGGCCGCTGCAGCTGCCGCTGCTTGGGCGGCTCTTCTGCTGTTCCGGTTCCCCTTCATGCTGCTGCTGACGCTGCTGCTGCTTCTGATGCTGCTGCTGCTGCTGCTGCTGCTGCTGCGCATGCATCCCACGTAGACTGCAGCGTCTCTGATGGCTCGCTGAGAAGCATAGAGGAGGCAACTCCTCCCCATTCACAAGGCCTTCAAGAGTGGCATTTAGCTGCTGCTGCTGCTGCTGCTGCTGCAGGGGGCAGGCCGCAGCAACAAGCAGCAGCAGCAGCGCCTGCAGCAGCAGCAGCAGCAGCAGCGCCCACTGCACAAGCAGCTGCAGGCGATCGACTGCCGCTTCAGCAGCAGCAAAACTTGGGGAACGCTCAGAAGCCTCTCAGCGGCCATTCGGCAGTCAACTGTTACACTGCAGCAACAGAAGCAGCAGCAGAAGCAGCAGCAGCTGCTGCTGCTGCTGCTGGCTGCCGGTCAGGGGCATGCCGCCACCAGCAGCAGCAGAAGCAGCAGCAGCGGCGAAGGGGCCGTTGTAGAGACATCTCGGAGGCTGCAGGCGCTGCAGCAGGCCCGCAACACTTTGCTGCTGCTGCAGGCCATTTTGGCCAGCCTTTTGCTGCTGCAGCAGGAGGCGAAGAGTGCCAGCAGCAGCAAAGTCTGCACGATCACAGGAAGCAACAAAGTAGCCACAGAAAACACATTGTGCTGCTGATGCATGCTGCTGCAGCAGATAGCAGCAACAGCAGCAACGCTGCGAACCCCACGGGCCGTCGTTCTCTGGCCTCTGGGGCTGCCGCAGCAGCAGCAGCAGCAGCAGCAGCAGCAGTAGCAGCAACACCAGTAGCGGCGGCAGCAACAGCAGACACCTCCCTTGTCAGCGAACTAGTCAGCCCCAAAAGATGCTGTGCATCGCTACGTGAGGACTTCCAGCAGCAGCAGCAGCAGCAGCAGCAGCAGCATGAGCACCTGTGGCAGCAAAAGCAGCAGCAAGAGTGGCTGCACATGGAGCACGAGGCCATCCCCGAGCGCTCCCCTGCCCCCGCCCCTTTGCTGCTGCGTCAGGGTTTGCAGCAGCACTTGGAAGAGCAGCAGCAGCAGCAGCGGCAGCATTTGCAGCGAGATCTGCATTCGCAGCAGCAGCAGCAGCTGCTGCTGCTGGAGCAGCGGCACTTGCAGCGGCAGCACTGCGCCCACGAGGAGGAGCAGCAGCCGCAGCAGGAGGTGCAGCAGCAAGCAGCAAGTGCAGCACGACGGCTCACCTGCTACTCGCATACGCCGTGGGAAGAGTTCCTGCAGCAGCAGCAGCAGCAGCAGCAGCAACTTCTGCAGCACGAACAGCAGCAACAGCCGCAGCAGCAGCAGCAACCGGTTTCGCCATGGCTTTTCGAAAAGCAGCAGCGGCAAATGCTGCTGCACCAAGGCCACGCACTTGCGCAGCAGCAGCAGCACTTGTGCTCGCTGGGTCCGGGCCTGCAGCAGCAGGCTGGACTGCAGCAGGTGCAGCAGAAGCTGCAGCAGCAGCTGCACCAGCAAGTGCAGCAGCAAGTGCAGCAGCAAGTGCAGCAGCAAGTGCAGCATGAACAGGTCATCTGCCAGCAACATGGCTGCTGCGCTGCACATAAAGCAGCTTTGGGATCTGTACAAAGCAGCGCAGCTGTTTCTTATGTGCCGGCAGATCAGTATAAGGAACAGCAAATGAGGCTGCAGCAGCAGCAGCTGCAGCAGCAGCAGCAGCTGCAGCAGCAGCAGCAGCAGCGAATGCCGCAAGAGCAGCAGCTCCAGGTGCAGCCGCACCGCTGCTGCACCCGAATCTATCGAGCGCCCCCTGTGGGTTGTAGTTCTGATGAAATACAGCAGCAGCTGCTGCAGCAACAGCAGCTGCAGCAAATGCAGCAGCTTCCTGTGCAGCAGCTCCGCTGCTGCAGCACAACGTGCAGAGCATCTCCTGCGCGCAATGTGGATGAGTCTCAGCAGCAGCAGCAGCACTGCCAGCAGCACCAGCAGCAGCAGCAACCGAAGGTATGCGTTGCTGCCTCCGGCGTTCCACAGTACTCTGTGCCTTCAGAGCCGCAGCAGCAGCAGCAGCAGCAGCAGCAACAGCCGCAGCAGCAGGAACAGTGCGTGTGGGAGCCGCAGCAGCCTTCCTTCGGGCTTGCAGATCCATCAGCTGGCACTCCAGCCCTGCTGACGCTACTGCAGCAAATACATGCGGGGCAGCAGCAGCTGCAGCAGCAGCTGCTGAAGGAAAAAGAGCCGCTTGAGTCAGGGGGCCACATAGCTGGCAGCTGCAGCGCCGTGTCTTTGGCGCCGCTGCTGTCAGCTGCTGCTGCAGTGGACCAGACCATTGGTGTACATGCTGATGGCGTTGCGGTGACCCAGCTGCAGCAGCAGCAGCAGCCTGCAGCTCAGCTGCAGCAGCAGCACCAGCCTGCAGCTCAGCTGCAGCAGCAGCAGCAGCCTGCAGCTCAGCTGCAGCAGCAAGTGCAGCACCAAATGCTGCAAGCGTGGGAGGCCAAAGAAGCGCCAGAAATGCACTGGCGCTACTGGGGAGAAGATCAGCAGCACGTGCTGCTGCAGCAGCACCACGTGCTGCAGCAGCAGCAGCAGCAGCCAGGAGTCATGCGACTGCTGCAGGTGGCAGCAGCAGGCAGCCGTCAACTCAGGGAAACCATTGTGGGAGATGCTGTTCCTTGAAAAGCCCTCGGCACTGGTTTCAGTAGCAGCAGCAGCAAACGAACAGCAGCAGCAAAGGAGCAGCAGCAGCAAAGGAACAGCAGCAGCAACTGCACATCAGCAGCAGCCGTTACTGCTGCTGACGCAGAGGTGTACGTACACCCCGACTGCAGCAAAACTGCAAAAACTGTTTCCAACTTGGCAGTTCAAAACACTTTTGTTCGCGATGCCAGCAACTGCTGCCAGCGTACGGCTGCAGCTGCTGCTGCAGCTGCTGCTGCAGCTGCTGCTGCAGCAACAAAGCAGCTGGAGAAGTGCCGTCAGCAGCAGCACGCAATAACAATAGTAAACAGAGCACTAGCTGAAAATATGCACAGCAGCAGCAGCAATACAACCCAAAGAAAATACCCATACATAACGTGGCCCAAACAGCAGAGCAGGAGCAGTCTCTGCAGCAGCACGTGCTGCTGCAGCACGCCTGCTGCAGGAGCAGCAGCAAGTGCTGCTGCTGCGCTTGAAACAGCTGCTCTCGGCCCTGTGTGGCTGCTGCTGCCCCTGGAAGTATATTAAACAATATATGCAGCTCAAACAGCAACGAGACACTCCCTCGCTGGGGGATGCTGTTTGCTGGCTAGCTAGCCACTCAGCTAGCCACCCAGCTAGCCACCAAGCTAGCCACCTAGCTAGCCACCCAGCTAGCTAGCAGTCAAGAAAGGTAAGTCACGCTTCAGCCCAGTGGCACGTGCAGGCTCTCTGCCGTCGCCCGTGGCCCAGCTAGCTAGCTGTGGCTTCAGCTAGCTAGCTGCGGCTTCAGCTAGCTAGCTGGGGCATCAGCTAGCTAGTCGGGAATTCAGCAAACTGGGCATTTAGCTAGCTAACTTAAGCTTCAGCTCGCTAGCTGGGGCTCCAGCTAGCTAGCTGAGACTTCAGCTGGCCAGCCAAGGCTCCAGCTCGCTAGCTGCTGCCTCAGCTAGCTAGCTGGCTTTGGCTTCAATTGGCTAGTTGGGACTCCGGCTAGCCAACCAGGGTCTTCCAAGCTAGCTGGTACTTCAGCTGACTCGCTGCGAGTCCAGCTAGCTCTGCTGGGCTTGCGCCAGCTAGCCCAGTCTTGAGAGAGCAAGCCAAGTCTTGAGCCATCTATCCTGGCCTTGGGCTAGCTAGCTAGCTGCCTCTTGTGCCAGCCAGCTAGGGTTTGCGCCAACTAGCCAGGTCTTCAGCTAGCTAGCCACGTCTCCAGCCAGCCTACTAGATCTGCGCTCGCTAGCCGGTCTTGAGCCAGCTAGCCCGCCCGCCTAGGTGGCTAGCCATCCCCGCTATCTAGCTAGCCAGCCCAGCTAGCCAACCCAGCTAGCTAGCTCGCTATCCAGCCCAGCTAGCTAGCTAGCCAGCCATCCAGCTCAGCTAGCTAGCCAGCCATCCAGCTCAGCTCGCTAGCTGGCCAGCTATCCAGCCCAGCTAGCTGGCTGGCCAGCTAGCCAGCCCAGCCAGCTAGCCAACCCTTGAGCCCAGCTAGCCAGCTAGCCAGCTGGCTAGCTGGCTAGCTAGCTAGCTAGCTTCAGCGCGTGAAGCTGTTGATGTGCTCCCTGCGAAGGCACTTGGGGCTGCGGCTCCTGCGCACCCACGCGCCCTTCGCAGCCACCAAGTCTATGCCGTCCCGCAAAGTGACCCCAGGGGGAATTGCGCTGCTGGGCGAGGGCCCCACGGAAATGGCCGCGTAGGCCTCGCCGCTGGCCACCGCCCGCAGCGCCACCGCCACTGCGCGCAGCAGCAGCAGCAGCAGCAGCAGCAGCAGCAGCAGCAGCAGCAGCAGCAGCAGATGCGGAGGCGTCAAGGGTCGAGAAGGCAATTGGTGCGAGCGGCAAAGACACAAATCCCGCAAGGGGCCAGCAGCAGCAGGACCAACAGAAGGCACTTCAGCAGACACAGACACGGCATAAGCCTGCAGCAGCAAACTGCAGCAGCAGCAGCAGCAGCAGCAGCAGCCTGGGGCCGCGAGCAGCAGAGCGCGAAGCAAGCAGGCAGTGTCCCAAAACGCGCCTCAGGGCACCCGGAGCCCCCTGGGGGCCCCAGAGGGCCCCAGGGGGCCCCAAAGGGGCCCCAGGAGGCCCCGGAGGCCCCTGGGGGCCCCCGGGGGCCCCAGGGGGCCCCTGGGGGCCCCCTGGGGCCCCCCTGGGGCATAAGGGATTTGGATGACTTACTGTTATCTACGACATGCACTGTCACCCAGTCTGGAAGAACTGGCCCCACAATGGCTTTGAGCTCTTCTGTGGGGACCACTACAGTTGTCTTTGCGTCTCCTTCTGCAGCAGCAGCAGCAGCAGCAGCAGCAGCAGCAGCAGAGACAAAAAGGACACATGAAACGCAGCTTAGAAAGGCTCGGAAGGCTGCAGCAGCAAGAAAGGCCGGGGCAGCAAAATGCATGCAAAGACTGCCGCAAAGGCGCTGTTTGCAGCAAAGGCCCCGGGGGCCCCCAGCTTTTGCTGCTGCTGGGGGGCCCCATGTGGGGCCCCTGCGGGGCCCCTGTGGGGCCCCATGTGGGGCCCCTGCGGGGCCCCTGCGGGGCCCCTGTGGGGCCCCTGCGGGGACCCTGTGGGGCCCCTGCGGGCCTGTGTGGGGCCCCAAAGGTGGCAACTTACCCCCCCTAATTAGGGCAATTGAAAAAGCCTCAATAAGTCCTTCATAAGAATTCTTTGAACCTTCTCGAGTGTATGTAAACAAGACTGCCCCCACGACGGGGCAGCTCATGTAGAGCAGCGAGAGAGGGTTCGAGAGGTCCAGGGGGGCCCCCCCCTTGTGGGGGCCCCCCTTGGGGGCCCCCCGCTGCCGCGCCACGCTGCTGCTGCTGCTGCTGCTGCTGCTGCTGTTGCGGTGCGACAGCAGGAAGTATATGTCCGTCATGTCCGCCTCTCCAGCAGCAACAGCAGCTTGAGCTGCTTCTACACTTTCATAGAATTGGTATTCTACAGAAACTTCGCTGCCAAAGTGGTGGCCAATTATGCGCCAAATCGCCCGCAGGTAGTCCGGAAAAAACCCTGCAGCAACCCCAGGTGTACGTACACCCCACAGCCCCAGCTGTGCGTACACCCCACAGCCCCCAGGTGTACGTACACCGCACAGCCCTCAGGTGTACGTACACCCCACATTCCCCAGGTGTACGTACACCCCACAGCCCCCAGGTGTACGTACACCCCACAGTCCCCAGGTGTACGTACACCCCACAGCCCCCAGGTGTACGTACACCGCACGGCCCGCGTTTCCCCGCTGCTCAGCCGCATTTGCTGCTTCTGTTAAAGAATTTAATCTTCTTTTGCTGCTGCTAATAAAGGCCTTTCAAACAAAAAGCGACCCCCCAGGCGGCACAGCCGCCCCCACTCCGCCCGCAGCAGCAGCAACTGCTGCTGCTGCTGCTGCTGCTGCTGCTGCTGCTGCTGCTGCTGCTGCTTACCGGTGGCCGTGTCTCCCGTGAAGTCCCCCGCGAGCCCCTTGTGGGCCCGCAAGACCCCCGTGGGAGACTCTTTGCCAATTCCTGCAACAGCAACGGAGCCTCTTTTGAGGATTTGCTGCAGCAGATCGTCGGGCAGCAGGTCTTCTTTGCGGGGCCAGGGCAGCGGGGAAAGTTCGCGTGCTGCAGCAGCAGCAGCAGCAGCAGCAGGCAGCAGCAAACTGCTGCCTGCTTCCGGGCCCGGGGTCACTCCGCACACCAGCAGCGGCACGTAGGCCCCCTCAGTCCCCCACAGCTGCAGCAAATAGTCCGTCAGCTCCCCAGACCCTGCACACACCCCACACCACCTGCTGCTGCTGCTGCTGCTGCTGCTGCTGCTGCTGCTGCTGGTGCTGCTGCTGCTGATTATGATAATGATTGTGCTGCTGATGCTGTGATTCTGGCTAGGGCTACGGCTGCTGTGGTTGCTGCTGATGCTGCTGCTGCTGCTGCTGCTACGGCAGCCCTAGCGGGCTGCAGATGCGGCTGCAGCTGCTGCTGCTGCTGTGACTATGGCTGCTGCTGTGGCTGCTGCGGTTGCTGCTGCTGCTGCTGCTGCTGCTCGGAAAACAAGCTGCAGGCGAACGCGGAAGCAGCTGCGTTTGCAGCAACTGGAGCAGCTAAAGTGAAGCAGCAAATGGGAGAAACGCTAATTAGGAAGCTCGGAAGCAAATGGAAATGAAACAGAAAATAAAATAAAATTAAATTAAATTAAATTAAATTAAATTAAATTAATAGAAGAAGGGAAATAGTGTGCCTAGGGACAAGGCGACTCCCGAAAGAATCCGCAGCAAAAAGCGCATGCAATTCCTCCCCACAAAAACAACACAGATTCACCCAGTGTCTGTACACCTCAGGTGTCTGTACACCTCAGGTGTCTGTACACCTCAAGTGTCTGTACACCGCACTAGTGTCTGTATACCTCGCTAGTGTTTGTGCAGCTCAGATGTCTGTACACCTCACCGATGTCTGTACACCTCCCTGGTGTCTGTACTGCTCAGGTGTCTGTACACCTCAGGTGTCTGTACAACACACTGGTGTCTGGTGTCTGTACACCTCACTAGTGTCTGTACTCCTTAGGTGTCTGTACTTCCCAGGTGTCTGTACACCTCAGGTGCCTGTACACCTCACTCGTGTCTGTACACCTCACTGGTGTCTGTACACCTCACTGGTGTCTCTACAGCACCTCAGGTGTCTGTACAGCTGAGGTGTCTGTACAGCTCAGGTGTCTGCACAGCTCAGGTGTCTGTACAGCTGAGGTGTCTGTACAGCTGAGGTGTCTGTACAGCTCGTGGCCGCCTTGTTGCTGCTGCTCACCGATCACTTGGGAAATGGCGCCATTAATTGCATCTCGGAGGTTTTGAGTGCAGACTTCGGAGTCTTCTTCAGATTCTTCTTCGAGGGCCTCAGCAGCAGGGGCCCCCTTGCTGCTTCGGCCTGCTGCAGCAGCAGAGCCCGCGGGGCCCCTGCTGGGGGCCCCTGCCTGCGCAGCAGCAGCGTCGCCGCTCCCTGCTGCTGCTGCGCTGCTGCTGCTGCTGCTGCTCACAAGCAGCAGCAGCCACACCAGAGACGCAGCCACGGGCGCCCAGCGCCTCCGCAAAAGCGAGGACTGAGGCGAAGGAGGTCCCGACATCTTGCTGCTGCTGCTGCTGCTGCTGCTGCTGCTGCTGCTGCGGTTGCTGCTGCTGCTGCGGCGGCTCAGTAGACAGGCCACGGAAACCCCGAAACCCTAGGGAACAGCAGCGACACAAGAAAAGGCCCTTTTCGGATTTCCGTGCTGCAGCAGAAAGAGACACGGAGCAGCCAACTGCAGCAGCAGCAGCTGCAGCAGCAAGGCCAGACAGAAGCAGCAGCAGGTCTCAAGCAGCAAACGCGTCTCTCGCTGGCTTCCCAGGGAGGCTTTGGAAGTTTTTTTAAATCTTTAAACAAACAAAAAAAAGAAGAAACTAAAAGGCAGCAGCAGCAAGCAGCAGCAAAGCAACTGTGGGGCCCCGGCGCTGCAGCCGTGTCTCTGGGGCACTCTGGCCTAGGCTCAAGGACAGCAGCAGCAGCAGCAGCAGCAGCAGCAGCAGCTGCTGCTGCTGCTGCTGTTTCCCCGTCACTTTTGCTGTTTCCGCGGCTTTTTTGGCTTTATTTTTCATCTTGTCTGCAAACAAAAGCCAAAGAAACCCCAGCAAGTCCGGAGGAGGACTCCAGCTGCTGCTGCCTCGGGAAGCTGCTGCAACTTCTGCTGCTGCTGCTCCCCGATCTCTGCTGCTGCTGCTCCTGTAAGCCTCTTCTTCTCTGCTGCACCTCAGCAGCAGCTCGTGCCGCCACGAAGGGCGCGGGGGCCCCTGGGGGCCCCACGGGGCCCTCAGCAGGCCCAGGGGGCCCCCTGGGTTGCCTCAGGGGGCCCCCCAATGGCCCGCGGGGGGCCCCCTCGGGGCCCCCAGGGGGCCCCCGGGGGGCCCTCCGAGACCCGTTGAGGGCCCACCGCAGCCCCCCAGGCCGCTGCAGCACTGGGGGGGCCCTGTGGGGCCCCACGCTGCGGGTTGAGCCACTAGGGGGCCCCCAGGGAGCCCCCAGGGGGCCCCCAGGGGGCCCGGGGGCCCCCCTGAAACAGCCTAGAGGTGGCGGGGGCCCTTTGGCTTCCTGCGAGGCTTAGGGGCCCCCTGCTGGTGGGCCAGTTAGGGCCTTTAGCTGCCAGCTTGGGGCCCCCGAGGGGCCCCGTTCTGTACCCTTGTTTCCGTGTCTGTATGCCGCACCGAGAACAGCAGCAGCAGCAGCAGCAGCAGCTGCTGCTGCTGCTGTTTTCGCACTGGCGCATTGCTGTGCTGCTGGGCGGGGCCGCTGCCTGCAGCTTTGCTGCTGCTTGTCTTTTGTGTGTCTGTGCTGCAGCAGCAGCACTTCTTTGCTTCTGGCTGCACGTGTGTCTTGCGTGCGTTGTGTGGCGTGCTGCAGCTGCCGCGTGTCTGCTGCTGCTGCTGCTGCTGCTGCTGCTGCTGCTCTTCAAATGAAGGACTTGTCTCCTCCAGGGGCCTACAGGGCCTTTTGCGAACTTGAGGGCCCCAAGGCGATCTTTTTCGTTGCTGCTGCTGATGCGCCTTCGCAGCAGCTGCTGCAGCTGCAGCAGCATCTGCAGCAGGTGCGACTCCGGTTTGCTGCTGCTCTTGTTGCTGCTTCTTTCTCTCCTTTGCCTCCCAGCTGCTGCTCCCAGCTGTGTCTGCTGCTGCTGTCTTCTTTTAACTCTTTTCTTTTTCCCTCTTTTGGGCCCCTCTGCCTCTCTTGTGCCCTTCGGGGGGCCCCCGAGGCCATAGTGCCCTTTTTTTGGCTTTTGGTGGCACGGGCGCTCGAAACCCTAAACCCTAAACCCTAAACCCTAAACCCTAGGGGTGTTGGGGAGTTCTGGTTTTGCGGCGAAGTACTTGTTATGCGTGGAGGTGTTGAGTGGAGATTAAAATGCATTTGGAGTTTAATTTTAATTTCAAAATTCCAACTGTCTTTAATATTTGCTTTTGCTGCTTCCAGGACTTTCCTGCTGTTGCGCTCGGCCAAGTAGATGTTGCTGCTGCTTCTTCTTGTCTTCTTGCAAATGCTTTAGTCACCAGACACCCCACAGTCAACTTCCTCTGGGTAAGGCTTTGCTGCTGCTGCTGCTGCTGCTGCTGCTGCTGTTTGCTGCTGCTGCTGTTTACTGTTGCTGCTGTTTGCTGTTGCTGCTGTTTGCCGTTGCTTCTCGTGGCTTGCTGCTGTGGTTTGCTGTTTGCTGCTCCTCCCTGCTGCTTGCTGCTGTTTTCTGCTGCTTGCTGCAGTTTCCCGCGGCTGTTGCTCAACTACCAGTGCCTTGTGCTGCTGCTGCGTTTCGTTTTTTGCTGCTGCTGCTTTCTTGCTGCTCATTCTCATTTTCACTTTTGTCTCCGTCTCCCGTGAAAGCTGCTGCTAGCTGTCTTCGCTGCTTCTCCGCAGCAGCTGCTGCAGCCTGCAGCTGACTGCTGCTGCAGCGCTGCTGCTGCTGCTGCCACGCTGCCGCTGCTGCTGCAGCGCTGCTGCTGCTGCTGCTGCAGCGCTGCTGCTGCTGCTGCAGCGCTGCTGCTGCTGCTGCTGCAGCGCTGCTGCTGCTGCTGCTGTCCGGGCTGCATGCGCAGGGCACCGAGCAGCTGGGGCAGCTGGTGGGTCTGGACGTGCCGCGTTTGGTGGGGTGTCTGCGGTCGCTTGCTGCTGCTGCTGACGCAGCAGCAGCAGCAGCAGCGCTGCAGCAGCAGCTGGGAATCAAGGCGGAGACTGAAGAAGAGCTCAACAAACGCCTCGCAGCACTTGTCAAGCAGCAGCCTGTAATGCTTTTCATGAAAGGAAAAAGAGAAGCTCCTTTTTGCCGATTCAGCAAAGCAATTCTGCTGCTGCTGCAGGAACAAGGAGTCACGAACTTCGGGACTTTCGACGTTTTCGAGGACCAGGCGGTTCGCTCCTGCTGCTGCTGCTGCTGCTGCTGCTGCTGCTGCTGCTGCTGCTGCTGCTGCTGTTCTTGTTGCTGGTCCTTTGCCTGCTGCCTTTACGGTGCTTTGGCGTGCAGCAGCAGCAGCTGCTGCTGCTGCTGCTGTGCCTGCTGCGTTTTGGTCTGCAGCAGCTCCTGCCGTTGTTGCTGCTCTTGTTATTCGTTTGCCTGCTGCTGTTGCTGTCCTTGCTGTTCTTCGGCTTGCACCTGCTGCTCACCTTTAGGGTTTAGGGTTTAGGGTTTAGGGTTTAGTCTTAGCGCTGCCTTGCGTTTTGCTGCAACTTCCATCTCTGCTGCCGGTTGCTGGTTTGCCGCTTCCTCTGCTGCAGCGCGTTTTGCTGCTGCTTCCCGTTGCTGCTGCTCCGCATTGCTGCTGCTGCTGTGACTGCTGGCGCTGCGTGGAGCTCTGCTGCCTGTTACCTTCGCGGCGGCATTTGCTGCTGCTGCTGCTGCTGCTGCTGCTGCTGTTGCTGCTGCATGGGTTTGAGGTCACTTCGTGTCTGCGCAGGTTCGCGAGGGACTCAAGAAGTTCTCTGACTGGCCAACTTATCCGCAGCTTTATGTGAACGTAAGAGCAGTAAAAAGCTGCTGCTGCTTCTGCATTTGCTGCTTGCTGCTGCTGCCCCCCCGCCTCTGCTGCTTCTGCTGCTGCTGCCTTCGCCTCTACTGCTGCTCCGCTGCTTCCTGCTGCTGCGGCGCTCTCGAGCCCCGTGTCACCTTGCTGCTGCTGCTGTTGCTGCTGCTGCTGCGACTGCGCCTTCGCAGGGCGAGCTGGTAGGGGGCCTCGATGTGCTGAAAGCCATGGTGGCTGATGGGTCTTTTAAGTCAGCTTTTCCTGCTTCTGCATTTGCTGACTCCGGGCTGGCCAACTGAGCCATAGGGGCCCCCTGGAGGCCCCCAGGGGGGCCCCTGGGGCCCTGAAGGGCCCCCAGGGGGGCCCCCAGGGGGTCCCCCAGGGGGGCCTCCAGGGCGACCTCCATGGGGCCCCCAGGGGGGCCCCCGTCTGCGCATTGAAGAGCCCCGCTGCTGCTTCCAGAGGCCGCTGAAGCTGCATGAGAGAGCTGATGCTGCTGCAGCAGCAGCAGCAGCAGCAATTAGGCAGGCAGCAGGCCGGCGCGAGTGCTGCCGCAATGAGCCCGTAGAGTTGTGGAAAGAAGAAATAGCTTTTGAAGTTGCTGCGCCATTTTGCCTCACTACATTTTAGAGACAAAGAGGCGCAGCAGAGGTCCCACTGCTGCCTCGGCCAGCTGCTGCTGACGCAGCTAGCTGCTGCTGCCTCGGCCAGCTGCTGCTGCTTCGACCAGCTGCTGCTGCCTCGGCCAGCTGCTGCTGCTGCCTCGGCCAGCTGCAGCTGCTGCCGCAGCCAGCTGCTGCTGCTGCTTCGGCCAGCTGCTGCTGCTTCCGCAGCCAGCTGCTGCTGCTGCCTCAGCCAGCTGCTGCTGCTGCCTCAGCCAGCTGCTGCTGCTGCCTTAGCCAGCTCCTGCTGCCTCAGCCAGCTGCCGCGGCCAGCTACTGCTGCCTCAGCAGCGTGCTGGGCTCAGGGCTTCTTTGCTGACTCCCCCTGGGGCCCGCTTTTTGAACTATTTTCTTTATTTGGGTTTATTGTTGCTGCTGAGGAGCCCGAGGGCCTCAATGCCTTTTGTTAGCTTTTAAAGACACAAAAGCAGCCAGCTAAACATAAGCCTGCAGGGCCCCTGGGGCCTCGAGCAGCAAGTGCACGCATGCAGCAGCACAGAGGCCCGTGCGGCGCTGCTGCTGCCTGCCTTTTCGCGCAGCAGCAGCAGCAAACAGACTACAGCAGCTGCAAAGCCAGCCCCAGCAGCAGCAGACTGCAGCAGCTGGGAACCCAGCCACGGCAGCAGGTCCTTCAGCCGCCTTCCCCTGAAACCTGCAAACTTGGGACCCCTTAAGAACTTTTTTGTAATTTAGAAGTCTAAAATTAAAACAAAACGAACGAAAGGGCCTCTGGGGGCCCTCGGGGGGCCCCCTTCTGCGCTGCTGCTTTAATTCACAGGCGCTGCAGCGCAGCTCTGGTGGCAGCTGCTGCTGAGGGGCCCCTTTGGGAAGCAGCAGGAAGCTGCAGGTGGCCAGGAAGTCCATTTTGAATTAATTTCAAGGTTTGAAATTAATGCATCAATCCCGGACTATCTGATGTATTTATTGTTCTTTTTTTTGTTTTTCTTCGAAAAAAGAGACAAGGGATCTGCTAGCTGCATTTAAATTCATTTAAGCGTTTTTATTCTTTTTTTCTTGAGGGCTTGAGCTGCAGCTGAAGCAGCTTCACTGCTGCTGCTGCCTCTCAGGCTGCTGCTGCTGCTGGCCAGCGAGCCCCGACTTTGTGGCTTTCTTTCTGGCAAAAGCCCAGACTAAATCGAGAATAAACATAAATACAAGCTCAGCAGCAGCAGCAAACTTTGAATGTATGAAAATATAACACAATACAAGTGTTAGGGCCCGGGCTGTGAGCCTTTTCTGCTGGGCTCAAGTCTCAGCTGCAGCACTTGCTGCTGAAAAGCCCTTAGGAAAGCAACTCCCAGCTAGCCCAAAGGGCCCCAGCAGCAACAACTCTCTTATAGGGCCACTGGGTGGCGAAAGGTATTTCTGAAAATGCATTAGTTGCTGCTCTTGGCTCCACTAAGGAACCGAAATGGGTGGGTGGTTCTCCTGCTGAGTTCTGCTGCTGCAGCGCAGCACGGGTTTTGCCTCTCAGACAGAGTCTTCAGGGGCGCCCGTAGTGCCTGTGAGTGCTGGGGGCGCTTCTACCTGCTCTATGTGGCTGCTGCTGCAGCAGCCGAGCAGCAGCAAGGTCTGCTGCTGCTGCTGCTGCTACTGGGGGCCCCCGTGACCAGGGAGGCCTCTTGTCGTTAACTTCTCTTTCTACAGCGCCCATCCCGGAAATTGACTAACTTTGAAGAATTTAGTGAGGCAGATCTTCTGTGCGAGTGCTAGTAGTCTGTTTCACAAGCAGCAGCAGCAGACCCGCAACAGCACCAGCGCTGCAGACAGACCTGGGACGCCCCGGCAAGCCAGCCAGGGCACCCGCACAGAAGTGCCTTAAGCCTTGAAGTCTAATTAAAATAAAAGTGAAACGGAGAACTGAATGGCTCAAACACACAAAAATCGAGAGGTAGCAGCAGCAGCAACACTGCCGGAGCAGCAGCAGCAGCGGCAGCAGCCTGAACCAGACCAGCTCACGGCCCTCCTGGCTTGAGCTTCCTTCTTGCCTTAACACCCAGTTGTTGCTGATCTTCCTTGAAGTTTTTTCTGTTAAATTAAGCAAATATTCAGGAAGGAAAAAGAGGAAATATTTCTGTCCGTGCTGCTGCTGCTGCTGCTGCTGGCGACACGCGCAGGCCTCAAGCGCTGGTTGCCTTCCGTGGCTTGCCGATTGTCTCTGGGCTCTCCACGGGGTGTATGTACACCTTTTGTTTCCGACTTAAATATGCGAAGTGAAATAGTTCTTTAAAAGCTCACTTCTTTCTCCAAGCTATGTTGTGGCTCCCCCGCGCCCTGTCACACTAGGGCAGGGCCCCTGCGGCTGTGCAGCAGCAACACACCTCTAGCCTTCTGCAGCAGCAAAGATGTCTCCCTCTCCCAGAGAGCCTTCTCCCCCCCCAAGTGCCCTTAGGGATGCTGCAGCACCAGCAGAGGGGGACAGAGCCCGCAGGAGACACACAGTTCGTTTTGCCTTGAACTCCTCCCCCCCAAACAGCCCTGGTGGGCCTGCCGGTGACCGCGCAGCTGCAGCAGCAAGACCAGCAGCAGCAGCAGCAGAATCGCCCCCGCGGGCACGCTCTCCTGCTGCTTCTGGCTCGCCAGGGTCACAGAGGCAGCAGCTGCAGGAGCCGCAGCAGCAGCAGCAGCAGCAGCAGCAGCAGCTGAAGTCCCCGACGCGTTCATCCACTACTGCATCAGTCCTTTCGAAAGCAGCAGGAGAGTTAGGGGCCTCTGCTGCACCTTCCCGGGGGTCTGCTGCTCTTGGGGCCCCCCTGGGGCCCCAGGAGCAGCAGACGGGGTTAGAGGCCTCTTCAGCGCAATTCCACTTGGGGCTCTCTCGGCTAATGAGTTCTTTTGAAGAAGAGAGTAAAAAGTCTCACTTTGGGGGCTCTCCGGTTTCCGCGTCTGCTGCTGCTGCTGCTGCTGCTCCTTCCGGTGCCGCCGCTTCGTTGCGGCGGTCAGCAGCAGCCTTGGAAGCAACGCAAGCAGCAGCAGCAAGAGCAGCAGCTGCTTCTGCCACACAAGAGTCACCTCTGCAGAGTCCGCTGCGCGGGGAAGCTTCAGAAGAAGAAGAAACCCCGCGGCGCCTCCCGCCCGTGCCGCCTGCAGCAAGAAAAACTGCTGCTGCTGCTGCTGCTGCTGCTGCTGCAGAAAAGCACCGTTTTGAGCCATCGGAGGGTTTTGGGGGGCCAGCAGCAGCAGCAGCAGCAGAAGCAACTGGGGAAGAATCTCTCGCTGGAGCCGGAGAGCGTGGTGTTCACAGGGGCCGGCAGCTCCCGCAGGTTCCAAGAGCAGCAGCAGCAGCAGCAAGCCGATCTGCTGCACTGGCAGCTGGGAGCTCCCCACAGGCTGAAGGCAGCAGCAGCAGCAAGCCAAGACTGCAGCAGCAGAAAAAGCCCACCAAGGAGCAGCCGCGAGACCCGGTGACGAGGCTGCCCTCACTCTCGTCTCCGCCTGATTCGCCAGGTGCAGCAGCAGCAGCAGAAACAGCAGCAGAAGCACCAGGACGCAGCAGCACTGCTGCTGGTATAAGCCGGTCCTTGAGCAGCAGCCTGAGCAGCATTTTGAGCAGCAGCTCCAGCAGCAGCCCCAGCAGCAGCTCCAGCAGCCTCCCCGCAGCAGCAGCCCGCGGGCCCCACAGCCAGCAGCAAACTTCCCCTGCGCCCCCAGACAAAGCAAAAAAGGCTAAGGGAGATCTTAGCAACGGGAAGCTGGGAAGCTCATGGGAATCTTTCTTGGACTCTTCTTCCGGCAGCTCGGGGTCCTCCTCTCAGGGGAATTCGCTGCAGGGTTCGCCGCGGGGGCCCCCACAGGGGGCCCCCGCGGCACAGGGTGACGGGGTACAGGGGGCCCCGGGGCCCCCTGCCAAGCCGAGAGCGAACCCCGCAACTACGGGAGCTGCTGCTGCACGTGCAGCTGAGGCAGCAGCAGCAGCAGGAGAGGCAGCAGAAAAGCGCACGCGGCCCACACACTTGCAGCCCCGCGTTTCGAGCCGCCAACGACACCCCGACGAGGCTTTTGCTGCTGCTAGCGATAGCAGCAGCAGCAGAAGCAACAGCGGCGCGGGAGCCCGGGCAGGGGGCTCTGCGCCTCCAGATATTTCTCGGCGTTTAGCCATTCGTGATCATGTGCAGCAGCAAGTGCTGCTGCTGCAGCAGCAGCGGCAGCAGCGCACACGCCAGCAGCAGATGCAGCAGGCCATGCCTATCCGCACCTCGCCGGTACTAATTGACCCTAGACTTGCTTGCCGTGTCCCTCCGGGCTGCGGCCAAGAGCTCTTACAGCAGCAGCAGCAGCAGCAAACTCTGCTGCACAAGCGCGGCATACAGCAGCAGCGAGAGAGCGAGCTGCTGCGCTTAGAGGAACAGCGAATGCTGGCTGCTTTAGCGCATGCATCAATGCGACAGCAGCAGCAGCACCGCCAAGCTGCAGCACTCCTGGATGGGCAGGTGGCAGTGCAGCAAAACGAACTGGAGATCATTCGCATGCAAATGAAGAATATGAGAGCAGCTCTTGAAAGCTGTCGATCTGCTGCTGCTGCAGAGAAAGAAGAATTCCTGCAGCTTGCTACTGAACTAAGGATGCATCACCACAGCAGGGAGAGCGCAGTCACCAGCTCGCTAACTGCCAGGCAGAGGCTCATGCTGCTGCTGCAGCAGCA